AAGGAAAACTCTGTGCGTCCTGGAGGACGATTAGCCGGTGCGCTGTGTTTAAGCTCAGCGACGCTCCCGGGAGCCGCCATTAGACGCGCGGCTGCAGCCGAGGCAAAGTGGGGGGTGCTGCATCATCTGGAAACACATCAGAGGTCCGGTGGGCGGGTGCAATCCATCCAGGAGATATTTAGCTGTCGACATGGCTAGACTCTTTTTGGGAGGGGGGGAGGGGCTAGACAGCGAGTTTGTTTACCCAACACGGGCTCACATGATGGGCCACGCTGCCATCGCCCCCAGGTGTCATTTCACTGCTGTGTGGCAACATGAAGAGCGCGATACAATGCATGCGATAATGCACCTCCAGCACGCTTCATCGGGCACGGGTGGTCGGGGCGGGTCGGGGTTCTGGTCCAGTGAGAAATCGTCTACGGACCAGATTTTCCCTTCTGTGAGAAAAGCAAAATCATCTGAAACGAGCCGGATTAACGTTCCTGGAGTTAATCTTTAATTAATCTTCGGCAAATCTTTAGAGAAATACAACATTCCTCGTGTGATTATGGTAAACAAATGGGGCTATTATACCATTACTAATATTAGTGGTATCACCACCTCACAAGGACGTCTCAAGGACGTCTTTTTCCATAGCGTGCACCCAGAGAAGAGTTGTTTGCGTTAGTAACTAAACCCAATGTGGAAGTAAAGATGTTCAAACGTGTCATGGAATCCTTTTGTTGTGTCTCAGATCTCCAGCGGGGGGACGGGGGGGCGGGGAGACGGGGGGGGGGGTTAGACACCCACTGGACCGTCGACTGACAGCCATGATCTCACACTGCTTCACAACCATCTTTTGTCCCAGTTTCCACCGAGCGACCGCATGTGGGCCGGAGCTCAACCTCAGGTTTTAGAGAAAGCATCTGTCGTCCGCTCACTGTGTTATGACTGAAATGTGATGAATTTCACAAATTTCCACCTCTTCCTGTTTGCTCGGGGAGAGAGCCCTGAGCTGAGGGGGGGGGGATTGCGTGGATGCAACCACTGTGACTTCCAGCGACCAAAACCACACGGGATCCATCAGCGACCCGAACATCTCCTTATCTCCACGCCGGGGATGTTTTACAGCGCGCAGTCAAAATAACTGCACGCTTTTCACACGCACAAAAAAGGAGCCACGGCACCTTCTCACAACAATAATGCAGAAGAAAGAAGCGTCTTCACTGCACGGAGCAGAGGGGAACTCAATGGAAGTTAATAGAAGTGGATGTTTTGGGGATCCCGGTTCAGCCAGACAAAACCACGCTGACTGGCAACGTAATATTCCAAAACAAGACGTAAGAAATCTGCTTTAGCTACAGCACAATGCATTCAAATTAGTGCTTGAGAACTCACTTAACGACGGTGGTAATCAGCCCTTGTGCAAGACTAAAACCCACTCAGCTCTTAAACACAGCTAATTGCTTCTAGGAATGCAGATAATTCCCCATTCAATCGAAATGCCAAGAATACGTGCAGTCCTATAAAACAGTGTGTATGCATGTTGTGAAACCGCTAACAAAACACGCCGATTACAACGGCGTATCTGCAGGGAACGCTTGAATCCATTACGCTGAGGAGTGCGAGTTCTTCTCTTTCCAAAATAAGAGCGCAGCAGACAGCTGCTAAGCTCTACACTTAACCTTGAAAGCACCAGTGAAGAAACCGGCTTACGATGAATGATATGAGTTGAGAAGGTTGTGCAGGGAGGAGGGGAAAGCGAGGGATCACGCTCGCCGTGCATGGGAATGCAGCTATGGAACGACCTTGAGGCAGCATCAGTAAAAGGCCTCATTAACCCCTTCGATTAACCTGCTCCGCTCATAAGCTCCATAAAACTGATGCATGTATTTTATGTGCATGCAGCGGCGCTGCAGCGCTCGCCGCTTACGTTACCCGGGAGACGAGTGGCCGAGCGCACTGAACCGACTTGCGGCGCCTCCTCCGCTAGCTGGAGTTCATCATTGTGTTTACCCGTCATGGAGGGTGAAGATCGACAACATGCTAATCCGTGCTAACAAGCGAGCTGGATGGAAGATTGCAGAGCAGGTTGAAGGTTTCCGTTCACGGTTTCGCCGATTGATTTATTTCCCCACGGACGGCGTCTTCGAGGTATTTCAGCCTTGTCTGGCTCATAAAGTGACCCCCAATGAAGATTAGGGGAAATCATTCACTTCAGGGGCCACACAAACATACTTGGAGGGTGTATTAGATCTCTATGGCGCTTAGCGTGATCAAATTACTGCATTAGACCGGTCAACTTATCCAATTAAAGTTGTAAAACGCACGGCTCCCGCCCAAGCGAGACGGCGGGCCCTTAGGGGGGGGCTGGGGGGGGGGCGGGGGCGTCGGAGGGTTCGCGGGAGGCGACGCGCCTTCTCGTCGACGGCGCCTCGCCACATACTTCAGCCTTTCATCTCGCTCTGACCGCCGGCCGCACATCTCTAAGGCCACAAATGCCTCGTAGTGACATCGGCGAGGAGCACATTCGTAAAGCCGTTTACGAGCTTCGTGCTCCAGTGGTCTTTTTCTCCCATGAGCACACACACACACACACACACACACACACACACACACACATTTCATTCCGTCCTTGTAGGAGTGCAGGGGGACACCCAAAGTGCTTTTAGAGACATTTTCAAAGACTTAAATCTCAGTTGAAACAATTGCTGCAATTTGTATTAGTTGCTCTGTAATCTTAAAAGCTTAAACAATAAGAGAATGTTGGAATGAGATCATCCAAATCACTCAAAGGGAGTGAAACACATAAAATAAACTCTGTCAGTCGCTTCCAAATTCAAGCAGTGCAGCAGTTAGTGGATAAAACTAAGTTTTTTTAATTCAACCCACATGCAAATTCACTTAAACAAAGAAAGAGCCGTTAGTTTCTAATCCCGGCAATAAGCGCCGATCGGCCCTGACCCCCCCCCCCCCCCGCTGCTCCATGAACATGACAAATAGCTTATTGATCAGCAGATGTCGTCCTAATGTCCTTTTTTTTGGCTGGAGGCTGCAGCTGCCTGTCCCTCAAGCCCCCGGTGGATCTCCAGCCGAGTCCCCCCCCCCCCTGGACCCCCACCCCGTCCTTCAAGGTGTGAACGGGGTCACAGACAAAAACGCCATCTGCTACGGCAGGCAGAAAAAAGGCAGGTGAGGCCATGTGACCCGATACTGGCCGCGCTCAGCAAGGTCAGGGGAAGGAAATAAAAGAGTAACGCAGATGTTTTAATCCGCTGGGGCAGAATCACACAGAGGGATCACGCAGACAAACCGCCAATCATGCAGAACATCCACGTGTGCGTCACTCGGCAAAAGCCTGGAACACCCTCCGCTTCCCGTCTAACCCAACGGCCGCGGCGCCAGCAGCTCCCCAGCCGCCGCTGACGCCGCCGTAGACTTTCCACGTACTTTAACGACGGCAAACAAATGGCTGGAGAGCCGCGGTCGGCGTCCTACTGCACGAGGGCGTCCGCCGCCGCCGCCAGAGCGGGATTTGCTCCATCTGATGTTGACACTGCGCCGCTGCGCTTTTGTTTCCGCCCGTCAAGGACGTGGTCGCGTTGAATAGAGGGAGCAGGAAGGCCCAGCCAGCATCCCCACTGGGGTTTTGTGCTTCATTGAGCAGCGAGGCGGCGACTGAGCGTGAAGAACGGTGTGCGTGTGTGTGTGTGTGTGCGTGTGTGTGCGAGGCTTTAGGATGTTGAGGATGCAGCAGATGCTTCTGACAGACAATCAAAAACAGACAACATTGTGCATGTATTTGTCTATTTAATATTGTTTATTTTAATTAAACACCAACCTGTTGATATGAAATAGGCTCCTGTGTTATAAACGTCGTCTTTAAAGGCTCAGAATCCCCCTTTGGGGAGTTTTTAAGTGGCGACTGTGCTTCAGCAGCGTCAGACTGTCCCATAACACGTTACAATGAGAGATCGCCGGCTCGTGAAGCGGGGATGCGTGGAACCGGAGGAATGTGCGGCCTTCTCTTTCTCCCACTGACGGGTTAATGGGCCCCATGTTCTGAGCGGGGGGGGGGCGCACATCTATTGCGAGATGTGCGCTTAATAAGGGGGAAGAGGCGGGGTTCTTTCCGTCTTTGTCCGCGTTTCAGCGGAACAAAAGCATCCGTGGAGTCATTTTATCACTGTCGTCACTCTGAACCCACCAAAATAAATGCAGCGCCGGGTGGTTCGTTGTTTCTGGAAAGCAGTGAGGGGTTTTCAAGCCGTTGGCTGAATATGGACTTTTTTTTATTTTCTGGCGGTGAGATGGTTGCATCTCATCCGTGCTGACGTCCCGCTGTGTCAGGAGGAAGCACTGGGGCTCTACAAGTTCACGGCTTTGAAACCACTTGGTCCTCCGGGTCGCTCCCACTAAGTGGCCATTAGGTCGCCCTCCCCTCCCTCCCTTCCGTAAAGAGGGGTGGGGATGACATAGACGGGAGGGTTATTCCTTTACACATCACTTCCTTTATTAAAAGGAGCAGCAAAGGGGACGGTCAGTGGTCATCCATCCCGCCAGCCACCCACCCTGAGACCCCTTTACCCCCCGTGTCAAACCCCCAGCCCTCCTCTGCTCACTCAGGGGGAAAATTACTTTGAGCTTGGGTAATATAGCTCCATTGAGATGGAGAGGAGGTTGTACAAAAGGGGGTGAAGTTTAAAAAAAAAAAAAGTCTTCTTTTTTCTAAGGGGGCCGTGCGATCGCTGCGATGGCTCCAAAGATGGGAGCGAAGAGGGGACGAGGTCACTGGAACTGGCATCTCCATAAGCTCTCCGCTCCCATTGTCTGAGGCTCCTCCGAAAGGACCTCCATGAGAAATGCCCCCGGTCAACCCCACACTGGGGGCCGGAGTCTTCCCCCTTTTGTCTGCCACAAAAAGCACTTCTCAAGAACGGCGTACAAAGCTCGTCTCCAGCTCAAACAACGACGTTCCGCTGCCGTCTGTCTGTGGATTCAACACCTCAAGAGCCTCTTACCTTCGGACGTTTCGCCGCTCCTCGTCGAGCTGCTTGAGGAGCTCCCCGATGCATTTGTTGGCGTCCATGTATTCCTGGCGGGAAGAGATGAGCAGAGCCAACAGTCAACAACGGAGCCGGCGTGACAGCTGAACACAGGTTAATCAGAAACACGGGGTCGAGTCCACCGTCCTCCTAAACAGTGATGCTGTCAAGTCGCGTCTGGACTTTGCGTTGCCCTCGGCTTTGTTTTCATTAGATGCGCAGAAGAGAGCAGAAGTGCTTCTGAGAAGGTGCGATTAATCGGCTCGGCCTCTCGCTCTCTCTCTCGCTCTCTCTCTCTCAGCGGGTAACTCCAGAAGCTGCGTAGCGTCAGCTGGGAAAAGCCCACACTCGCTCAACGCCGCGCTACCGAGCTACAGCGCCGACCACATGAGCGAAGGCCCGAGACAAGGATGGAAATAACAGATGTCAGCGCTCGAGAGTACGGCCTGATGATTTGTTTTCTAGTGGTCCGACTACATAAAGTAGAAGGTAGGAGGGAGAGCGGAGGGGGGGGGGGGTCAGACGTGTGAGGTCTACCTGCAGTAAATAACGGCTCGATGCTGTCGGCTCGATGCTGTCGGATCGCTGCGATTCTCAGACTAATTCATTAGTTGTTGGCTTGACAGCTCGTGACGCGTCTCCTGAGGTGGAGGGTTATCTCGCTGAGACAGATGCTCCCCCATTGATTTCCAGACAGTCTGCTCACACTGTAATTGAATAATGGGGATTCCCATGAAGAGGTCACGAGTCCTGGAATCTCGGTCCACGAGGGGAGAGCGTCATCTGGGAGCCGTTTATTTCCCCCGCCCTCGGGTTGGACCCGAGAGCGCCCGTTCTAAAAACGTCTCCACGCTCCTCCCCGGAGCCTCTCTGGGTTTTCTGCGCGTCTGCTGTGATCTCAGCTCTCTAAATAGTCGATGGCGGAGATAAAGCCCACATGTGAAACACAAACAGATTTCTTTTGAAAAACAACTGTTGAAACCACAGGAAACCAAAACAAGCGCTTTGCCTGCAGCAACTTTTCAGAGGAGCCCTGAAAATGAACCTTTGTCCCGTGCACAGATATCAGGTCTACATGGAAATGTGACTTTGGCAACCGCGAGGCAAATCACAAACTGGCAAAAAAACAGAACACACAATGACCCTCACAGCCTTTCACACCCGTTATTTGCCATGTGTAGATTGGGACCTCCCTCTGAGCAGACCTGAAGCACTTCTGCTGCCACTGCATGAGCTTTTTTTAACCTGTGGCCCTGAGAGTAACCTCGTAGTGGTCCAGATGTTCCCGAAGCACATGCTTCAGGTCTAAATACAGTACGTGCAGTTGTTCAGTCCGCCCGCTCCCCCCCTCTCGCTCTCCAACGGCTGCTTCTCAAGCAATTATCGCACTTAAAAATCACACATCTGAGGCCGCCACTCGAAGACACCCGGCCGCCGCCGGCTGGCCCCCCATGCCAGCGCGGCGTGGCGGAGGCCCAGGCGTCCCGCCGAAGCACGACAACGGATGGATGCGACGTTGAACAAAACACAACATTAAGTCTTAATCTTTTGATCCCCTTTTCCATCACCGCCGTCGTTCATTTCCACGGAACCGGTGCAATAGTTCTTTAACGTTGGAAAGTAAACCAAATGTGGCGTTAAGCGGCAGCGTCCCGAAGCCATCTGCTTGCCTGAGCACCACTCACACACGAGCTGGGAAGCCATTAACGCTCCCGCTCTCCGGTCCTCTTTATGCTTTTTATCTGTATAAGTGGTCCTGTCCTGGGTGCATGCGGGTCGCAGCCGCCGGCTTGCTGTGAGCTCTTTGTGCTGCAGATGAGACACGGTGGTGCTCATCGAGGAGCGGCGAGGCCTCGTGCATTATCAAACACGGAGCACAGTCCAAACCAGCGGCCTTCAGTCCACGTCATCACGCAGACAGGAAGAAAAAAAAAAAAAAAAACCCGTCTCGGGGTGAAACGCCCGTCTCCGAAAAAACACCATTAGCAACACGATCCCATAATGGCTTCTGCTACCTCACAAAGGGGAACCTTCTCCTGCGAGAGCCCCATGTCAGGGGAGATGTTTACAGGCCACATCAAACGTGAGGGAAAGCCGCGTGAGTCCGTGTTGTCATCGCAGAGACCTCTCCGGATGACGGGGCACCGGAATAATCCCCGGCGCGCACATGGAGGAACGCCGAGAATGTTGTGGTGGTGAACGGGACGGCCGGATTTGAGGTACGACCCGCGCAGGTACCGCCGCGTGTTTTATCCTCGGCCAGGCGTTATCAGACGGTTTTACGGCCCTGGTGAAAGCTGCGCGGTTCCCACGGGGCCCGGCTGCTCACGCGGACGCTGGATTTATTGACTCCAGGCGTATTTCTCCAGAAACGGTCCTCTCGCGAATTGCAGCCCAGTCCAACGATTCCTTGCGGAGGTTAAAACTTCCTCAGGGCTGTAAACCCCCAAAGGAGAGCACGACCCCTTTGAATCACGCTAAATCACAAGGAGGTTTTGGAAAACTCACGATATTTTCTGGAACTATCTTACCTGATAGCGGCGGTTAAACTAGGTTTGGCCCTGGCAGGTGATGTGTTTGCTGAAGCTGCTCTGCGGCCCGAGGCTTCGCTCATGTTGACCCTGTGTGTTGATAAGGAGACACTTGGTAGAAGAGAAGAGGATACCCCCCCACCTCCCCCCACCCTCCCCATCGAGTCCTTCCAACTGCTCGTGTGCCTTTCGTGACATTTTAAAATCTGCGCGTCGCCCCCCACTGCTTCGGCACTGAGGGGTGGATGGGAAAAAAAAGAACCACAAACACACACACACACACACACACACACACACACACACAGTCTGACACACAAAACAAAGTCTGTTCAAGATCATTTGTCAATAAAACACCAGATGCCTTATTCCTCCACATGAGGCCGACTTGCACGCTTTGGTCTTTCACACATTCTTCAGGATTAAGAGGGACGGAGTCAGATTCTAGATCATATCTGGTGCTTATACACACGTCTCTTTGGAGAAAACAAAACCGTAAGCTGGATGAAAGTTGGACTCGCTGGTGTGGAGGTCAGGGGTCGTTCCCTCCACCACCTTGATGTGTCTAAAGATCAGAGGCCGGCGCTACAGACAAGACACCTCGTACGCCCTGCAGCCCCTCAAGTGGGCTCCGGGGGTCATGACCCTGCCAAAGTCAAGGTGACAACCATCTCCATCCTCGGCCCACCTCGGCTTGCCATGAATTCTGCACATAGCGATGACATGCCAGCGCGGCCTCAGGGACCGTTAAGCCAAGTGCAAACCTCTAGCTGCCGGTTTGACTGAAAGCCGAGCTCCCTCTTGGGCTCCTGTGTGTCAAAGGTTGTGCAAAGAAAATGGAAGATTTCTTTCTGCACGTTTTTTTATGGCACACTTGAGAATAAATCATGACCGGGACTCTTCAAGCTGTTACACACACACACACATATTCACACGACATATCACATCTGAAACGACGTCCTGCCACAGATACGATCATCCAATACTCCAAAAGTTGATGTGCACATCGTGAGCAAAGATGCATACGTAGCTAATTTGATCATTTGAATTTGATCAATGAAAACGTATTTGCGATATAATTCGCAACGACTGCGATCGTATCGTCGAGAGGTAATGAAATAATCAGCATGACTAATGGTGTCTGCCTGCAGATTGCTAGGAACCTGCCCCTGTTTAGCCTCGGTTGAATTCATTAGTCTTATCAGCACGTTGTGGGGCTCGGTTCAGATGATCCTTCGCTCAGAAGTCGTTACTCACGTCCCACGGAGGCGATGTCAGAGTATCCGCCCGGCCATCGAACTCTCATATCCTCAGAGCCTGATAACGGGCCGATAGCCCCCCCCGCTACCTTTATCAGTGGAGGGGGCTGCTGCTCAGGTTAATACGCGGGTTTTTTCAACTGTGGAAAAGGACTTTGACATCTGTGTGATCCGTGTGTGACTGATGCTGGATGTGTTTGTGAAGCTTGTCGCTGCATCACAATCATTTGATGGATTCATAAAGGAAGGACGGTCTTGGTTTTTTTATGATGAATATGATGAATATATATCTATAATCACAGAGAACCTAAGGATCTCTCAGTCACAGTCCACTGGCCGTCACCACGACCTCTCTGTGGATATTTTGCATCCATGGTTTTACAAATTCATCTCCCAATCCAACGAAGACTAAATAAAAAACAATCAAGGCTCTCACAACCTCAAAAAATGAGCGATGCAGAAACTGGGCTTATTGTACCCAGAACCTTAGTGGCTGCGGAGGCCGACACAGAAGCCTCATTGAGTCCGTGACATGAGTGCAACAAATGGTTCCAGTGAGCGGGATATTCTTCATCTGCCTACCTGCGTCGGAATGGAGTGTTGTGGGGCAATATGGATTACCTGAGATACAAAAGGGAGCCTGTTCATCACCCAGTGAGAGTTTGGGCAGTTTGGGCTATCTGAAGTTCTTCCTCCACGCAGCAGCTCCGGCCCGGCGCGGCCCAAACATCAACACCTCGCCACCGTCAGGAATCCAAATCCCCGCAGATTATCTTTCCAAACATTGAGATACGTCCAAGTCTCCAATAGCCCTGCGTCTGTTCTCCTCTGCTCTTTGGCTTCCACAGAGTGCTCCATTCATGCCTTTTGGGAACAGTGGCAAAGCTGTTCACCGTGTAAATCTCACCGGGGAGAGTTGAAAAAGTGGCCGAGGAATTAAATACTTGGGACCTGCCATGGATCGCTTCCACGGAGCCATCTGGGTGGAGGAGAGGGTGAAGGTATGCGCCAGGGGCCGCTGCTTTTGTTTGGCTTTTCCGCTTTTTATGTCCATTCCCTCCCTGCTCGTCTCTATAATCTCTCCCCGTTCTCTTTTGCTCTCGGCCTCGGTTTTAAAATCTACGAAAACACACACCGGGGAGGAGCCGTCGAGGAATGCTGCCTGTAGGAATAAAAACAAACACACGGCCGCTGGTGCCGATGTTTCCAGACAGGATGGGAATCGAGGAAACAGGGAACGTACGAGGCACACAAATCTTTTAC